TCGAGATTTCCGTGTTATATACGTCAGTTTCGCACGCTTCGTCAATAAATTTCATAAATGAGTTGAGTTGCCGAGTGAATGTACTTCGTCTGCGTTGCAATGTGGTCCGTGATGTCGAATAAAATAATATATATATAACAGACGAGCTTTTCATACACTATACTTGCTATTAATATCCGGATAATCCGCTTCGAAGAACAAAATGTATTTTACCACGTGTAGAATTGCGTGAGAAATTTCTTCACGTTCTGTTGGATTGGTGGAGAAGAATGGGGTTGATTGTAGACAAGATGGATTGATTATAAACAATTATGCAGAGGAGTACTCTTGGGCAATTGAGGCTTGATTCTCTTCGATTCGAAGAGCGGACAAGAACTGACTTTTATTCGAAATGCGCGGATTTGTTTTAACTATTACATCGTAGGTGAACAACTATTGATTGTGCATATTTGAAGGAGAAGTTTGGCTGACATCAAATTATCAGAGTAGAAGGGACATGAAAATCCGTATGTCTCGGACTATGACCGTTGCAAGCAATGAACTTCAGAAGCCTCTTTACCGTAAGAGACCTTGCTGCTATAAATTTGGAAAAATTTAACTCTTTGCAGATTACCGCCGCGTATATTGTGTTCTGCATAAATCATCAATCTGGCTGATGAACCCATATATGTCCGGTGGACACAATAGAACCGTATATATACGTATACATGTTTAATACTAAACGTACCGAGCGAGGTAAAATGATCCGCTTTTCAAAGTTTACTTTGAAATCGTACATTCGTTGTTATTCCTTTCGCTAATCTGCCTTTTTGTAAATTTCTTATATTATCTGATTATTCAATTTCTCGTTTTCTGTTCTTCTCTTAGCTCTATCTGATTATTCAATTTCTCGGTTCCTGTTTTCTCTTAGCTTATTTTTTAACCGAGAAAAATTCTTTGCATACCTTATGTACCGCGAGGGGTCATTTGACCCCTTATGGTAAGATAGGTGATATGTAAAATGCCAGTACGTTTAGTGTTAAGAAATGACAATCTGTAATAAGAAAATATTGAGTCACTCGCGTTCAGTCAACTTTCTGCTCGCTATTCGGTTATTATTTTA